TATTAGCATGCCAGTCTAGGGTGGGAATCAAAGAGCTATAACAAGATTGGTCATAATTTGACAGGGCGGGGAGGGAGGAGGAAGGGGGAATCAGTAGGGGAAAAAGGAGAAACATCTGTAACTAAAATAAATTAATTAATTAATAAAATAATAATAATAATAAAGATTGGTCATAATTTTATTATTTTTAAACCTAGATCATGTATACATGAGAGTTTATTTTACTCTTCTTTGTGCTTTTGTTATGTATACTACTTTTCATAAGAAATATATACATAAGTAAAATTGGATGACTTTAGGTTGTAGCTTCTATAAGCAAACACATGATAGCAAATGAGAAAGTTGTGCCTCTGAACTTAAACATTTTTTGTCTCAATTTGCCAATTACCAGCTTAGCTATGTGGTATTTGTCAAGCTATTTACTATTTCAATCTTTATTTCAAAAGAGAGATAGTTTATGACAAAGACAATACATTATATATATATGTATATAAATATGTGTATATATATATATATGCACAAAAGTTACTTAACACCAATTGTGAGATATATTAGATATCAACTAATGTTAACTCTTTTTTCTTTTCTCTATCTAGCACTCTCTTGTTTATATATTTTCTTCTCTTTTTCATGGCAATTATCCTAAATTAGTCAAAATATTTAAAATAGAATTCATCAATTTTTTTAAAGGTCCAGACAAGCTTATGAATTCAATTTGAAGTACATTATAATCGGATTTTTCTCATGAATTACTTACAGGGGCAAGGTGAATAAAATACATAGACATAAATTGCTGTATAACTTTAGAAATAGCAGTAGTATTTATGAAATACTTGTATACTATGGAAGGCAATATTTAGTATTTGGAATGTATTAATATCTTCAATCCTCAAAACAATCTCAGGACTAGCTAGGGTAAATTGTTTTGTTGACACTCTTTTATAGATGAGAGAAATTGTAAGTTTAGGTGGCTTGACTGAGTCACAGAATTGGCAGGTGATGTGACAGTCTGTCTCTAGGAGGGAGGATGACAGTAACTACAGCTTCAGCCACATCTGGCCTGCCATTGGTTTTTGTATGAGCTACGAGTTAAGAATTGTTTCTACATTTTTACATGAGTGAGAAAAAAATCAAAAGAAAAATAGTACTTTGTGACAGGTGATTTTTAGTGTCCATAAAGATTTGTTGGAACAAGCCAAATCTTTTAATTTACATAAGGTCTATGACTCAACATCAGAGTTGGGGAGTTATAATAGAGTTCTTAAGGCCTAAAAAGTCTAAAGTATTTACAATCTGGTCCTTTATAGAAAAAGCGTACCAACCCGTTCCTCTAGGCAGTATGACTATAGAGCCAATGGACTAAATCCTTTATTCCAGAATGACCCACTAAAGTCCTAACACAAATTGTACTTTTGAAATTTATGTACCAAATAAATAATTGAACAAGGAGGAGGAGGAGGAGCCTAAATGACTTAAGCAACTTAAATCTTGTTAAAATTACATGGATGCTCCCATCTTGCTGGTACTCGCCAGCCTTTTATGAGGCTTGCTATTCAGGAATGGGCAAAAGTAGGTTTAGAGTCGTTTGTCTGAAAAATAATACAATAATTAATAAATAATAATATAAGAATATACTCTGTGTTTTGTGCATTCACAACTGTAAACTTACTTTTTCCTCACCCTGTATATTCTCTTTCACAGCAGAGTCAAGATCCTGATTCAATGACCTACCTATTACCTCTACTATCAGAGTTAGACTATTTTCTCATGGGAAAGTGACTATGCTGTTGTTTCAAAAAAAAATGTGCTTCTTGTTTCTGTCACTTCTATTTTTAATTTTGGAAATACACACACACACACACACACACACGTATAATTTGTGAGTGTGCGTGCGCACGCGTTTCCAAGGGGGAAGTGAAAAATTTGCGTGACTACTTAGATTTACCTTGAGGAAGAGAACCTCACAGGTAGCTCAATTGCTTCAAGAGCAACCTGTCACATTCTTTTGTTTTCTGTGTTGCAAATGCGATCACTACAGTGAAATGTGGTTTTCATTTGGGTGGCCTGAGGCAAAGCCTCTAAAATTGTTCTCCTTCTGTTCACTCACATAAGCCTTATGGAATGGATGTCACCCCTTGGGGAAATCCAAGATCCCTGGAGTTTGTCTCTTGATTAGCAAGCTCCGGAATGTTAAACAGCCTTTGATCTGGTGACACCTGCCTACACAGGAAAATGGGGAAGAAAGAAACAAACAAACAACTTTATTTGCTTTCAGATTAAGTTTATTGGTAGTTTAAATTCTTTACCATGGCTCAAATATTACTGTTAGGGACTCTGCTTCCTCTTAGTGACTTTTGCAGGTTTCAGATGAATGGCTTAGAGTTCTGATTTTATTTACATCTCTATTTTGACTTGGTCATTTTACGTATCATTTGGGAACTCTCTTCTATCCACTCTGTAGTAAGTCTGCTGAATAAGGCTGGGTCATTATTATGTTCTTTAAAGGCTAATGACTGCATCTGGCTGGCGTAGCTCAGTGGTTGAGCATCAGCCCATGCACCAAGGGGTCGCCAGTTTGATTCCCAGTCAGGGCACACGCTCAGGTTTCCACCTTGATCCCCAGCAGGAGACATGCAGGGAGCAGCCTATCGATTGATGACGTCTTTCTCTCTCTCTCATCAATGTTTCGATTTCTCTCTCTAAAATCAATACAAACATATTAAAAGCAAATAAAAGGCTAATGAATGCAGCTTTCCATGCCCAAATCCTGTTTCAGTGTCCAAGTGTTAAAACAATCTTCTGACAGATTGCTCCTAAAAATGAGAGACAAAGCTGACAAAAGCTGTCTGGTACTTGAGTAAAAAGGTTTTTGTTCTTATTTTCTGAATTTGCTGTTATATTCCTGTCTTGGGTGACTGTTTTTGAGCAGTCTACAGGCTGACCTGGCTGGTATTTTTCACTTTATTTACACCTGGAACCTTCCAATGATTTTCACACGATACTGCGGATTCCTAGATCAGTGATGGGAAATTTGATTTGTTGTGGATTCCTGCTTTTATTATTAACTAAGAAGTTGATAATAACTCCTTAGTTTATTGTATTGTGAAAGCTTCTGAGATCACGACTGACATCAGTAGCGATGTTCCGTGATTATTTTTCTATGTCTGCCATTAAGCAAGGCTTTTGAAATAGCAGAAGTCTGCTCAGATATTTGTTGGTCCTATCCAATAGAACATTTTAAATGTTCTATTTTAAAGTTTTTTTTGTTTTTTTTTTAAGTTTTTGAAGAGAAAAAGAAAGCCCTCATACCTTTTAAGTTTAGAACTCTTAGGATTACTATTATTATTTTTTTCATGTCTTCCTCTTGCCCATTCTAATTCTTTGCATTTAAGACAGACAAGTTTCTGCATGGAGGGGAAACTGAATGAATGGGAACACTGTCTTCTGAAGCCCCACATGTGCAGCTCAAAAAGAAATATTAATACATTAAAGATTTTTGGGGACATTTATTCATCACTTTTCACATGAAATCTATGTATTATTCATGGTCCAATGGAAAAACAGATAGCATACTTATAAGTGGGATTTGAGACATAACAACTAAACCCAATACGTTATTCTGCAGTAGAGCCTGTACTAAAAAACAGCTGCAAAGAACACTGTCCCCCGCCCCCACACCCCAATCTGGAGCATATGCCTCAGGGAGTCTGAGCAGAAGCTCACTCTGAAAACACTTTTGGGCAGCTGAGAATCTGGCCAAGACATCTGTCCTTTTTGTTTGTTTGTTTTTAACCTTTCACAATATTGTTCAAATTTGGAGGTGAGTTACTCAACTGTAATGATACAAATTAACTTTCTACTTTTACAAACCAAAATAAAATATGTTCCAGTTTTTTAGCCTCCTACTTTCCAACCTGACCTATTTTCCCCACATTTTTATTATAAAAAGTTACAAAAATAAAAGAGACATTATTAAAACAATTGAAAAATAAAAGTAATATGAACTGCAGACCACTGTTTCAATGCTAAATTTCCTGAATTTAAAAACCTTAGTGTGGTTACATAAGAGACTATGTTTGTTAGAAAGAAGACACATTAAAGTATTAGGGGCAGCCAGGCTGGTGTGGTTCACTGGTTGAGCATCAACCCATGCACTACCAGTGCCAATTTGATTCCCAGTGAGGGTGCATGCCCAGGTTGTCAGCCCAATTCCCAGTGGAGGGCATGCAGAAACTAGCCAATCGGTGTTCTCTCTTATCAATGTTTCTATCTCTCTCTCCCTCTCCCTAAAAAATCAATAAAGAAGAAAGAAAAAATAAATAAACTATTATGGGGAAATGGTTTATATAAATTAATTTTATAAATATATATTCATATATAGTATGAAGTAATACATGATCAAACAAACATTATAAGATGATAAATTGGTGAATTTAGATAAAAGATCATAAGATTTCTCTAAATCAAGTTTTAAAATTTTCTGAAATTTTGAAATTCTTTTAAAATTAAAGACAATGAAAGTGGGTACAAGTGAACAGAGTTTAAAGAAGGGATTGTTATGCTGAATCAAAACTAAAAAAAGTAGTAAAACAGACCCTGGAAACTGGGTGGCTTAGTTGGTTGGAGCATCGTCCAATGCACTGAAAGGTTGTGGGTTTGATTCTTGATCAGAACACATACCCAGGTTGTGGGTTTGGTCCTCAGTCAGGGTGTGTAATGGAGGCACTCAATTGGTGTTTCTCACATCAGTGTTACTCTCTCTCTTAACAAAAAAGAAGGAAGGAAGGAAGGAAGGAAGGAAGGAAGGAAGGAAGGAAGGAAGGAAGGAAGGAAGGAAGGAAGGAAGGAAGGAAGGAAGAAGGAAGGAAGGAAGGAAGGAAGGAAGGAAGGAAGGAAGGAAGGAAGGAAGGAAGGAAGGAAGGAAGGAAGGAAGGAAGGAAGGAAGGAAGGAAGGAGGAAGGAAAGAAAAAGAGAGAGAGAAAGAGAGAGAGAAAGAAAGGGTGCTCTTTTCGGCAGCACGTATACTAAAATTGGAACAATACGGAGAAGATTAGCTTGGCCCCTGCGCAAGGATGGCATGCAAATCCTGAAGTGTTCCATATTTTTAGTAGCAGGATACAAAATTAAGGTCAAGAAATTGACAGCATTCTTATAAACCAATGATGAACTCACAGAAAGAGAAACTAAAAAAACAATCCCATTTATCATCGCAGCAAACAAATTAAGATACCTTAACCAAGAATAAACTTAACCAAAGAAATAAAGGACCTATTCATAGAAAACTATAGGTTATTGAAAAAATAGAGAAAGATATAAAAAAGTGGAAGCACATACCCTGTTCATGGATTGAAAGAATTAGCATCATTAGATTATCCATACTACTCAAAGCAATTTATAGCTTCAATGCAATCCCCATCAAAATACCAATGACATACTTCACAGAACTAGAACAAATACTTAAAAGTTCACATGGAACCAAAAAAGACCTCAAATAGCCACAATAATCTTGAAAAAGAAGAACAAAGTAAGAGGGATCACATTACCAGATTTCAAGTTATACTACAAACCCACTGTAATCAAAACAACCTGGTACTGACACAAGAACAGGCATATAGACCAGTGGAACAGAATAGAGAACCCAGAAAAGGACCCAAGGCAATATGCTCAATTAATATTTGACAAAGGTGGCAAGAGCATACAGTGGAGTAAAGACAGCCTCTTTAATAAATGGTGTTGAGAAAATTGGACAGCTACATGCAAAAAAAATGAAACTAGACCATCAACTTACACCATACACAAAAATAAACTCAAAATGGATAAAAGACTTAAATGTGACTCATGAATCCATAAAAATTCTAGAAGAAACTGTAGGCAACAAAATTTCAGACATCATACGCAGCAGCATTTTCACTGATACATCACCTAAGGCAACAGAAACAAAGGAGAAAATGAACACGTGGGACTACATCAAACTTAAAAGCTTCTGCACAGGAAAAGAAACAACCACCAAAATGGAAAGGCAACCGACTCTATGGGAGAGGATAATTGCCAATGATACATCAGATAAGGGGTTAATTTCCAATATATAGAGAGTGCTCATACAACTCCACAAAAGGAAGACAAAGAACCCAATTAAAAAATGGGCAGAGGAGCTGAATAGACACCTCTCCAAACAGGACATACAAATGGCCAAGAGGCATATGAAGAAATGCTCAACATCACTAATCATCGGAGACATGCAAATTAAAACAACAATGAGGTATCACCTCACACCTGTCAGAATGGCCTCCATCAACAAATCATCAAACAAGTGTTGGCGAGGGTGTGGAGAAAAGGGGACTCTAGTACACTGCTGGTGGGAATGCAGACGGGTACAGTCACTATGGAAAATAATATGGTGTTACCTCAAAAAATTAAAAATTGAACTCCCATTTGACCCAGTGATCCCACTTCTAGGAATATACCCTAAGAAGCCTGAAACACCAATCAGGAAGAATATATGTACCCCCATGTTCGTAGCAGCACTATTTACAATAGCTAAGATCTGGAAACAGCCCAAGTGTCCATCAGTAGACGAATGAATAAAAAAGCAGTGGTACATATACATAATGGAGTTCTATGCAGCTGTAAAAAAAGATCTTTTATTTTTTGAGATGATATGGAGGGACCTGGAACGTATTATCCTAAGTGAAACAAGCCAAGCAGAGAAAGACAAATATCACATGACTTCAATTATTTCTAGAATATAATGAACTAAACAAACTGATAAATAAAATAGACCCAGAGTCATAGAAGTAGAGTACAGACTGACAATCCTTAGAAGGGGGGAGGGGGAAGGGATAAACCCCAGAACTTATATACATGTATGCATAACCGATGGGCATAGACAACAAAGCTGGGGACATGGTGAAGGGGGGATTGGGGAGGAGGGTGTCAATGGGGAAAAAGGAGAAACATCTGTAACAAAAATAAATTAACAAAATAAATACATACATAAATAAATAAAATACATAGCCAAGAGAAATCCGTGCATATATCACCAAAAGACACAGACAAGTAGGTTTATACCAGCTTTATTAAGAATAACCCATATGTGAAAACAACCCAAGTATCCATTAGTGGAACATGGAAACACTAATTTCAGTTCATTTTTATAATGGGACACTACAAAGCAACAAATATAGTATATTACTTATAGAATCATTCACATGGATGAATTTCACTGTCATATTAGTCAAATGGCAAAATAGTATATATTATAGGACTCCATTATACAAAGTTTAAGAGTAGGCAAAACTAATTGATGATGATAAAAGAAAGAAGAATGGTTACCTTTCAAGGAGTTAGGGAATGTAAAGTACTTTAAGAAATTTGGGGGGATAATGTATATGATATATATCTGGATCTTGACTGTGGTTAAGTGACTGTATATCTGTGAGAAAATTTATTGAGCTGTACACCTAAGATTTGCTGACATGATGCATTGTGCTAAATGTAGTTTAATCCACAATTTTAAACAATAAAAAAATTCAATATAAAATTTAGGGTAAACACAGAAATCGCAAACAAATTTCTAATAATTGCAATTAAAGTGCTAGAATAAAAAGAAAGTTTAGGGCTTATCTCTTTTAGTGTCTCACAATTACTGTGCTTGTTTAGCCGAGGGCTTGACACCGGTGCCTCAAGTCGCAGGGCTTTGTGGGCTGGAGCATCAACCAGATAGGCCTCTTCCTCCCCTTCACGCCGTCATTAATTCATTTTTATCTACTTTATATTTTGGAGTTCTTCAGAAGATTTGATGACAAACTGTTAAAAAAGACTAAAAATCACAGATTTATTTAAATATCTTGGAGGTCTTTGCATACAGATTTAGATTTGCTCAGTCATACTGACCTTGAACATGGCAGGGTTTCTGTAACTGTTGATTGGTCCACCGCTTCCTTTAGCAAGAAATCCTAATGGAAGGGACTCAAGACAACCAAATTAGATGGGGTTGGAATAAAATGAGGATGCTTTAATAAATTATAAATATATGTGGAAGGATAATTACCAAAATTATCTCTCTAATAGAGAACATTTTCTATTCATCCAAGGAACAAAACTAGAAGGAACAGCAGCCTCAAAAAGACTTGATATGAATATAAATATCTAACAAGTAGATATTGAACATTTAGTATAAAAGCCAATGGATTGGTGTTATTAAAGTACGGGGTTTATGAGACTTTAACAGTCCTTTTGCATTTATGAGACTTATGTCTCCATATCTTTGTGGATAATTATAAAATTTTATTATATAGATAAATTAGTTTATTGAGGTAGAGAATGAGTTATGTAAAATTAGTATATGAGAATAAATTATTTAGTTCTTGAGTAAATCAATCTATCTTCTACCAGCACCGATTCTAAGTAAGATTTCTACTTCTCATTTAATGTATAATTTTATTTAAACCTATAGAAGACTATTATATTGGCCTGGAAAATTTGAAAATGGTACACCATAGTGTTTATTTTGGGGATTCTTGAAGGTCTTCAAGCATATTCATTGGACGTTTTGAAGAGATCCTGTAATGGAAACAATATACTAATGCCAAAGATTTGAGTCATTATGAATTATTGTGGGTTTTTGTATATATATTTTGGTGATGGAGATTAAACCAGGCATAAGATGGACATCGATCAAGCCTTTCAACTTGCTATTTTATACTGAGAGCAGACAGAAATAAATACAGGTCACAGACAATTTCAAAGCTATTAGTTGTATCAATCTGGTTATTTTCTTTATAAGTCTAGATAATCATAGATTGGATCACCAACTCTTTGAGTTCCTATAAGTGGTTGCCTTACCAATCAATAGCCATGTATTTTTGAAGTTGACATGACAAACCTGAAAATATATTTTAATGATATGGTAGCATGACAAAGTTAAGTTGATTTAAATAGGACAAGATATCATAGATCGCTTAATCAAATCTTATAATCACAATAATGAATCAAATCTGGAGAATTATGAAAACCACTTCATGGTTTTATAGCCTGTTCTTCATAGACAGGTAATAAGAATAACTCTAATCAAGTAAAAAACTACAAGAACAATAATTATGTGCATGTGACCAGTCTTAGGTTAAAAGATTCTTATTACCTGTATGTTTTATCTGCAGGTTGAATACTCATTATACTCATCTCTACTGATATACACAGGCTCAGACACACCATATAAAGGCATCTCCTTGTGTTGCTTGTCCTTCAGTATGCTGATTCAGCATATCTGAAAATACTGCTTTGGAAATGCATATTTCTGGAAATATCGTTGGCATAGCCCAGAATGCTGATTCAGCAAACTGATGATCAAGTGTGAGTGGAAATGTGAGAATTTATTGCAGCTTTTTAGATGAGGGCCAAATCCTCAGGATGAGGTAAGTGGGTATTTGCTTGTGATTAGTCCGTGTGCCCAGTGTACTGCGTATGTGGGGTGACAGTTCAGCTAGATGTGGTTACAAGTTCTGAAGAAGCTACTGGAAAACAAGTTTCTTATTTTAACTATGAAATACATTTCATAGCTTAGATCTTTGCTTTTTTGCAATTGCATTTTTAATAAATCATAAATTATTTTATACTTTTTAGAAATGTGTATTTTTTTCACATTTGACAATCATCTATATTACTAAGTATCCAAAACATACATTTTTTTGTTTCTGAATGTTAATTTTACCTATGTCAGATTTCCTTAGCATAATTGTACCTATAATTTTGAACAATAAAATGCAGAAAATATCTTAGAAAATAGGATATTATGTGAATAAGTGTGTGGGAATTAAGATAAGAAACAAGCCAGTGTGTTCAAACAGTTTAAGAAAGTCATAAGGGAGTTGGGTGGGATTTTATGCTGCAATGAATGAGAATTTTTCAATTTAATTTTTAAAAATCATGTTGTTGCCAAAGTGCAACTCAAATTTTCTGCACAAGATATAAAGCAAGTAAAATGAAATTGATATTAGCACTACAAAGAAATATTTAAACATTTAAAGACAGATGACATAACATAAGACATTGTAACATAGATACCACCAATTTTAAAACATTTTAAGAGTCAAATTCAAAGTCTAGTT